TTCCAGACACCCACTACTCTTTGTGTACAGGCGTGTTTACTACTGTCTGTCCTGTCGGTTTCCGATTGTGGCTCCATTTCCTCATGGGTTTTCCCTTCTGTACCCCGTAGGACCTTCTAAACTTGAATAAAATCTCCCCTCTGTCTCCCCTGTTCTAGACTGAAGACGTTTTGCTCCTGTAACAGCTCACGGCCCCCTGGAGCTCAGCAGTGTGAGCCTGGTCAGTACCTGGGTGGGAGACTCCTGGGAAAGCTGAGGCTGCTGCTGGAAGAGGTGGGGAAGAGGTGGGGACACTATACTGTAAAAAGGCGCCATCCTTCAGATGAGACATAAAGCTGTGGTCCTGACTCTCTGTGGTCCTGACTCTCTGTGGTCATTAACAATCCCAGGTTGTCTCTCTCGAGAAGAGTAGGGGTGTTACCCCGGTGTCCTGGTCACATTCATGGAGGGGATCCCCATGACCTGTAAAGAGCTCTGAGTGGAGTGTCCAGAATAGCGCTATATAAGTGCAAGCAGTTATTATTATTGTTACTATGCTACTAGAGTTCCTCGATGATCCCACAATTCGTGTTCTAATAATTTTCTTAGAATAAGGAACACAAGAGCAGTGACCACCGAGAGGAGAGGCGCTCGCTCCATCTGGCTGTGGCAGTTCGCAGTTAACTGAGCCAGGATCTCGCCCAGCAGCTGAAAGGAGCCAGGGTATCGGCTTCAACCACAGGGCTTGTTGACAGGAGCTTGCTCCACTGCCTCCTGGTGTCAGCTCTTAAAAGCGCTGCCATGTAATAAGAAGATAATTGCTCGCAACTGAAATGCAGGAAGGAAGAAAAGTGATTTGTTCATCGCTGGGGGCAGGCCTGGCAGTGGAACTCTGTGCTTTATGGTGGGGCTGAAGTCTGAAGGAGTGTTCACAGAGGTGTGGTTTAATGCCAAACCTCAGGGGGCCTCTTTAAGGGCACAGTGACATTTCTGTACAATCAGCTCGAGACGTGCAATCCTCCACCCCTCTCTCCCCCCACACTCACTCACCCACCCACCCACGGGATGACGGAGCGGCTGTGACCTGACTGTTCTACTGGCGCATTACAGTAAGGGACGCCATTTCGGCTCCGAGGCCGCCAGGGAGAAGGTTCTTTTAGGCCGGAGTTGAGCCAAGATGGCAGCCCACGGGAGCAGGCAGTTTCCTTCCGCCTCTCCGGGCGGTCCTCCCGGATGACGTCAGGCAGAGGGCAGCAGACGAGTCAGCTGATGAGGAAGGAAGGTTTTCTCTCGCAGCGCCGTCCCGTTTCTCTGTTTTGATAGAATATTCTGCAGTTCGTGGGGGCGGTTTAAAGAGCCTGCTTATAGTGTTTGTCGTCCTCTAACGCAACCGCGAACGCTCCTGTGGTACGGGCAGTGCGGCCATGGCGACCACCATCTCCACGCAGAGGGGGCAGGTAAACGAGATCGCGTCTTTCTGCCGGGGGTACCCCGAAACCGAGTCATGTGTCCGCAGCATCGCGTGTCGCCGTGTTTACAGAGGCCCGCTTACTCGCGCGGCTTGACCCCTCAAGCCCTCCTGTC